ATACAGAAAATTGAATATATAATCAACCAGTATGTTTAAATCAAAGAAATTCAGAAATATACCGACAACTCAATCGGAATGGACAACCATCGTTCGGATTGTATCAGATGGAAACACCATCTATCGGATTGTACAAATACCATCTATCGTTCGGATTGAATGTTTGGGTACAAAGAAGTGAGAACTGGATATGAATGATGGCGTTTAGAGGGGGAGTTTTAGAGGAGAGGATGAATGTGGCATTGAAGACGGTAGGTTTCTATCGCAGAGGGAGTAAGAGGCGTAGAAGGGTCTTCAGGATAATAGGTGGTACGCTGGATAATGGGGTGGAACGCAGGGTATTTGTATTTAGGGTTGGTTAGGGTTGATCTGGGTCGCTTAAATCTAACGGGTTGGGCTGAGTACGTTTAACTGGGCCGGGTAGGATTAGGGCTGGCTGAAAGGTTTTATTCTAATGGGATTATAAGTTGGATCCGAAATTTCAGGTATTTGGGTCTGAAATTAAATGGATGTTACATACGTTTGTACATATTCAATGGTTTGGTCAGATTTAATTGGGCCAAAAAAATATTTCAAAGTATTCAAATGGGTTAAAACTTAGCTGGGTTTTGAGACTATTTATATGAGCTAAAATTCTTAAGTTATTTTTAATGATCAAAAAATATAAATTGTACTCCCTCCATTCTTTTTTAGTTGCAACGGTCAACATTCCATATTTGCCCACGCACGTCTTTGACCGTAATTATATGTTAATTATATTAGTAAAAAAATATTAAAAATCATATTTTGAAAATTGTAATGAGATGAATTGAACAATATTTTTTTAAAAAAACAATTTTCATAAAATAATAGTGTCAAATGTAGTCAAAGTAGAGCATGTAAATATTGTAAAATTCAACATGTTGCGATTAAAACAGAACGGAGGAGAGTATTATGTATAATGGTAACGATAAAAATAAAATCAAAAAAATCATATAATAATGACCCTTAAGGGAGTAATATTTTTGAATAAAATGTTTTCTTTTATTTTTTTTAGAATAAGATTCAAAATTATTACTCCTAATAGAAAAGGAGTTGCTAAAGTTTGTAATTAAACAAGTTTCAAATTTAAAGAGCAAGCGATTCACGTTTCCAAAAAATAATAATAGTAATTGAGGGCATGTTTGTATTTAATTGCCTTAAGCATAAAACTTTAGGGCATATAGAAATAATCTATTGTATTGAAATCATGCAATAGATATAGTTTATTGTATTGGAATCATGTATATTGGAAATGATCTGTCCTACTTGCAAGAGCGTGCAATCCTAGCTCCAACTCTTGATGTTGTGGATCAAATTAACGAATACATGACATCTCTCAATGTTCAGGAAGAGTCTAGGACATATTTGAGTTCTGATAGCATCTGCAAGTCAGACTCAAATTCCGATTTCTTGGCTGATTTGCACACTCCTGAATTCCTAAATAAAATCCGTGCATCAGGAGTTCCGAACCACGAGTTAATCCTTAAAGTCGGTACTCCGATAATGCTTCTGAGGAATATTGATCCGTCTATGGGGCTTTGCAATGGAACAAGGTTGATTGTTACACGGCTTGGGAATCACATCATATCCTCGGAGCAAAAATTCTAGGGGGGGAATATGCTAGACTTGAAATTGTCATTCCAAGGTTAACTTTGACTCCATCTGATTCAAGAATTCCCTTCAAGTTTCAAAGTAGACAATTTCCTGTCATGACCTCTTATGCGATGACAATAAATAAAAGTCAAGGTCAATCACTGTCGCATGTTGGCCTTTTATTAAAAAGCCTGTCTTTACGCATGGTCAACTTTATGTTGCAGCATCGAGAGTCACAAATCGCAAGGGTTTGAAGATAATCATATGCAGTGAAAATGGGGAACAACTTGATCGTACTACCAATGTTGTTTACAAAGAAGTATTTCGGAATTTGTAGAGTACGGATTTCCTATTGTAATGTTTATTATTCCTTACGATCCTGAAACATTATTCGTACCAATTACGCCTCATATATATTTACATTAATTACAATTGGTTGTATGTGTTACATATATACTCTTTCATGTCATTTAGGCATTAACTATTTATATTAACAACTAATATGAAACAACTAATTACTTAATATTATTATTTAGTATATGTCCCGCGCATCGCGCGGGTGAAAATCTAGTATCAACAAGACTAGAAGGATTAAAATAGCACACATAAAGATCATACATAGACACAAATGTCTTAGCATGCACCACCTGATCGCCTATTAAAAGAAATAAGGAAAAATTCTAGAAAATGAATAATAACGTTTTGAAATTTCAAAACAAACTACTACTCCATCAGTTCCTAAATGACTTTCCTTTTTTGTATGTGGCAAAACAAAATCACACTTTCTCATTTCGTGAACAAATCTATATCAAAACTGTGCAAATAAAACAATGTTAAACAGTATATTCTACCGTAAATTTTATCCCTCAGTAAATTTTTTCCTTAATATATGAAGTTAAAGTCTGACTTTCATTTAGAAACAGAGGAAATATGTTTTATTCCCCAAAATAAGTATTTAAATCATGATAATGCCAAAATATAGAAATATTTACTCATATTTAGGCAATCAAAATATAATAATTCTATTTTTGAATTTATTTTACAAACTAGTTGAGGAAACTAGTTTATTTTACCCATAATATTTATGGGTATATTTGGCACAACTAGCTGAAAAGATACTTTTGTCAGCTATTTCATAACCGTTAGCTTTTAATTACTGAAAAGATCTTAAAGAGAAAAGGTGGTAGCTGTTTGGTAAAAAGCTGACTATTTGATTTAGTGCCCGTTTGGTAGCCATGTTTTTGACTTTTCAGACTTATAAGCTAACTTTTTCACCAATCACGTAACTTTTGGTTTTACTTTTCTGCCTGTATGCTGAATTTACAGTAGAGGGTCATTTTAGCTATTTTTCATATATTGTTTTCTTTATTTTATTAATAAAATGTATTTTAAATTATTATTTTTCACAAATCAGCAGAATCAGCCAATACAGTCACATCAGTCAGAACTTCATAAATTTCAGCAGAATCAGCTATTACCAAATGGGCTCTTAGTTCGGTTTGGTATACAAGCTCTTAGGACTAATTAACAGTAAAAGTCACATGCTTTTTTCAGATGTTACTCCATGTAGCATCTCAACAAAAATCTTTCAATTTTTGAAAAGTTCTTAAAATTGTCATACAAAACATATAACTAAAAGCTTTTAGAGAATTTTTGAATAGTACAAAAGTTAAAAGATAAAGATTTATGCCCGCCAAACATAGCCATAATAATAAACTAGATTGCATAACTCGTGTCTTTTATAATCAAACTAAATGATGAATTATGGCCCGGGTAATTTATACTATCGTATGAATTTAGGTATTTGTATTTAAGTGGTGTGTGAAAGACTAAAAAGGTGGAGCTATTATTTTGCCTCTACCATTCATAGCTTGGTTTCCGGTCAAACACGTATCATTGAGCGATGGGATCGAAAACTTAAAACAATATTTTGCTTTAATAAAACAAGAAAATGATGGCTGCACAATACTTTGCCTTTCTCATTAATTACATGCAATTTAGTAACACAAGTCTGCAGGTTAAAAGTGCAAATTAAATGAGTGGAACTTTATATCCTTATCGTGAATGCATTTTTCGCGTAGCTAGGTACTAGATACCTAATTGAAAGTGCAAAAGCGAAGATGGTGCACTACAAATTGGCAAATTGTCAAAAAGTGAAATATGCAAAGTCATATACCAAAAGACTTTCCGTCTAATAAAGTTACACCAAATTACTGGCCACTCATCTTTTGTGATATATTTTATTATATATATTCTGTCGAGACCAAACCAAAAAACAAGAAGAGAAAACGACTTTAACGCGTGCATATATATCATTTCAAGATTTCAAATAGTCAAATGGAGGAAAAATATGCGGAGTCATGCACCAAAAGAGAATATACTTTTATTTCGATTTTAATTTCTATTTATATATATATATATATAGAAATAAAAATTTATGATTTCAAGAGAATATGTCTCTTCAAGTTGAGAAATTACCCTTTATATATTCCACTACTTGGATTTTCATAGGTATTGAGGAATGAGGATACACTTATGCATGCTTCTCCTCTAATCCTCTTATTTGTTGTTGTACTTACTTAAACTTTAAAATAATATGAGCTAATTCTTGTTTATTTTATACACCAGTTTTTATAGATTATGAAAATAATAATCATGTAAAAACTACGGAGTATAACATAAAATATTAAGTTTTTCACATAAAAATATATTTTCGAATAAATGATCCGTATTGATTAGAAACATGTTATTTCTTCCCATTTAATATTCCCTTTTTGTCTGTTATCAAACTTTCTTCTTCGCTTTTCCCTTTAAGAAAAGAAAGTGCGTGATTAGGTTGGTGCCTTTTCGATTAAAGCTTTATCACATAATATTGTAACTTTATTCTATTAAAAAGCGTCTGAAATGAAAGTAACAAATATTTAGGACAAAGGATCACAGTAACAATCCACTTTAATAAAAGTATTAAATGGGATATGATGAAAGCCAAGTGGCAAATCAAAATATTACAAAAAGTTACAAAGTATTGGATTTAACTAACATTTGAGCTTCATTCTTTTAAAAGTTTAATTTTCCTCATGTACATATACACAATTTATACATGCACTACCAAAAAAATAGTTTTTGTATGGATTTCTCACAAATCGATAGAGATTTTTGTCACACCCCAAGTCAAATATTTCGTAACCAAACGAAAAACAGATTTTACTACGACAGATTTGGGGAGTATTTTGTCACAAAAAATATGATTGACAAAATGCGTGTCAACTCAACACAAAATGTGCCAAAGTCATTGTTTTTTTGTAATACACATAATTAAAAAAAAAACTCCGTCTTTATGTTCATGTAATTAACTTCATTTCAAGAAACAACATACTCCGTATATGGCGGTCTAAATATTCTCACAATAGATTCTTGATTGTTTATGTTAGCAGCAGAGAAGTTCATGCAATTCAATGGACCATATATCCTCATTCCTCAAGAAACAAAATTGAAACACTACGATTACAAATATGGCCATACTTTTTCTGAATTTTGCCTTTATTTTATACAAAGTATTGCTTTTCTAACTTTATGCTCTAAACATTAATGTATATAGATAATACACCTAATAAAAGTGGAGTAAAATTTAATGATCTACAGTAGAAATGGGGAATAAACAAGAATGGGCAATTCTTTGAGTAATCAATGAGTAGCGGAGATCTTGCTTCTCTTCCCGGAGAGAAGATGGAAGCCGCCTTGCTCCGCTGTGCGCCACTCGTCCACCGTCATCGTCGTCGTCCCGTCGAATTCAATATGGCGTAGAAGCCCGGAGGCATCATACAAGCAGGCCTCCGACAACCCATTAATCATCGGACATGGGGGCTTGTTTTTACGGCGACCAGCCCCGACGGGAACGTTCCGGAGAGCTCCGCCGGCCGTCCAGTACCTCTGGCAACCTTTGCAGAAGTGCCTGGGCTGGTTAACGTTGTAGTTGTTGAAGTAACAAAACTTGGTCTCCATGCTGTTGCATCTAGGGCAGGGAATCACCTTGTCGGGCCTCTTGTGTTGTTCTACTGCAATTCTTTTAGCTTCATCATCTTTGCCGTTTGGTTTCTTCTCTTCATCAACTGTTATTATTGTTGCTCCAAAGAGCTTGATGCCCTGTTTCATGTGTGTGTCTTGGACCTCAGCCATTTGAGAGAGAGAGAGAAAGAAAGTTTGGGTGGAACGAACCAGGATAAATATTTTTGTTTATGATGTGAAGGTCTTATTTATATACTCGGTATAATATATTCATACGATAGTATTATTATATACTTAGTCTAATTACATATATGAATTTGTATAGACAAATGAATTGAAATGATGTGAGACGAACATAAGTAGATGACTTTATCATGGATGATTTAGTGGCATTTAGGGAATTTTTAAGTTATGTCTTATTTTGGCATCCCTCCTCCTCTCCCTTGAAATTTTAGACTTTTTAAGTCAATAGCCATAAACTTGCACCATTGATTTTATCATCTTCTCCCTATTTAAAATCTACTCCCTCCTCCCCTCCCAAATTCATATACATGCATGTATAATTTTATCAAAATTAGTTAGCAATCCTTGACTTGCAAATTTGACCGATTATATATTTATGTTATAATTATGTACGAAATTATTATAATATGAAAATGGTATAAAATGTATTAATTTCGCATATACTACATTACTACCTCTATCCCCAATTGATTTGCAAATTTTACGTTTTTGGTTGTCAAACAGTTTTATTTTATTCGCTTAATTAGGATGTCAATTTTTAATTGTATTCGAATTTGGAGTTTGCAACTTTGAAGAGATTTTAATGTAGTTTCTGAATATGTAAATTTATTTATTAAAAATTGAATTAATTATGAATATGGAGGATTGACTTTTTTTATTGGTTTACAAAAAAATGTTGACTTTTCAAAACAATTTGAGACGGATGGAGCATAGAGTATTTAAAATGGTTGTTCTTGAACAAGTATAAACCCGACCTTAATTATTTTACTAGCTAGAATTACGAAAAATATACAAGTTATACGTAGTATTAAATTTAGAAAAGTCCAACAAATTTCAGGTATGAAACGTTATTGAGAAAGGTGACTAAGTCATCACAAAGGTCTCAAGTGAAGGTACAATTGTTCCTAAACCTATATTATAATACTCCCTCCGTCCCATTTTACTTAGCCAATCTTGATTTTTTAAGTCTATGGAGTCTAACTTTGACTGATTATATGTTTATATAGAGAAAGTATTAATAATATGAAAATGATAATGAAAATGTTCTTTGTTAAAAATACTATCATAAAAGTATAAAATTATTAAATTTTGCATAAATATATTAGTTTAAATTATTGGTCAAAGTTTACCTTCTTTGACCGGAAAAGTCAAAGATGGCTAAGTAAATTGGGACGGAGGGAGTATATGTACTTCTGATGAGTATCAAAAAATTGAGTACAATGCTCAAGCTCTAATATATTTAATATGTAGACTTCTTCCTATTGAGCACAAATGTGTTCTAGGGTGCCAGACCGCAAAATAAATGTGGGATTTCCTTGAAGTTTCTCATGAAGGAACATAACGAGTGAAACGGTCCAAAGTTGATATGAGTATGGATTTTACTAACATAAATAATATTCTTGCAGCCTTTGGTAATGAATCTGAGTTGAAGATCAAGTAAGGAAGGTAATGAAGAGCTTACCTACTTCACTTGTGACTTATGAGTTAGGGCTCCGGGATGATAAAGATGTTGAAAATGTAAGAGAAGAATAATGAATTTTCCTCGAAAAGGCTACAAAAGAAGAGAGCAAAAAGTTCAAAAAGTGAATCCAAGAATGAGATGGGCATATTTTATTTAATACTACGTAATAAGCAATTCAGATAGATATATTGAAGAATCAAATGCAACATAAATAGAGAACAAGGTCAGAAAATTTTCGACCATTTCATAACCAAGGTTGCATTGTTTGTGGGCCATTTGAGTACAAACTAAAAGATGGTCTCAAAAATAAGAGGGACATAACCCAACACATGAACAATAAAGATTTAAAAATAGCAATGATCATTGTCTGAGGGACTCCGCGGATGATGGTGGGATGAAAATGACAAAACCGCAAATCAAGCAGGATATGTTTGATGGCAAAATGCGCTGAGGAATGCGAAGACTTTGAGGTATGTGCAACATGTCTTCTTGCTCAAGTTTTCCCTCGACCCAAACCTTGAATTTTGAAAATATTCAAGGACTAGCAATAGAGCAATATATAAATCTTTCTAAAAATTGACAACTTACTTGATCAACACGTAGAACTTTAGTCCAAACTCGATGAAACCACAAGAGCCAAGTTGAAATTTGAAGTAAAGGTGGGAGAGTTAAATGATGAGACAATTAAGAACACTGAAGTTGTTATGGAACAAGATCAAATAATTGCTTCACTACCGCTCGACGATCTTACAAATAAACGAATAAGTGATTTATGGAAAATCAACTACTCTAACAATTGCAAACATTGATTGATTTACAAAATCAATAAACTTGAGATTGTGAGAAATTCTTTAAAAGATGAAAACGAATAGAAAAATGTGACAAGTCAAAAGCAAGGTTTTCGAGGCAATAGAAGAAGGGGACTAAAATTGTTTCCTTCACAATAGTCGTAGCACTACAAATGAAAAAATTAAAAGTCGAGTACTAATGGTGCCACTGACACAATAGTCAAAGGACTAAAAGTATCACAAACTATTTTTATAATTTATCTTGAATCTTTTGTGTAGAGTAACTTCTCATGGTATGTCTTTATGCTATATCAAAACAGAAGAGTGTTATGCTGTTGACAAGCACTAAGCCAAAAATCAGACAATTGACTTAGTGACAACCAAGGAACCACTTCAAAGAAGTCACTTGACTTGAAGGAATTAAAAAGAAATGAGAAAAACCTTAAGTATTCTATCACACTGAAGGAATACTTAAAGCAAGACAAACAATGAAGACAAGATCCCTAGAATCATCAAAAGAGTGAAAGCATGGTCAAGAGTTCAAAGCAAAAGACTTCTACCTTAACCCGAACAAGCTTCAGAAGAGTAACATAGAGGCGTATGGTTCAACAAAGGCATTTGGACAATCAGATTGCTTTTGGATGAAACAAAAGCATCTGGATTATCTGGACATTCAAAGGCGTCTTGATCATCAGAGGCGTCTTGATCATCAGAGGCGTCTAGCTCATCAGAAATGTCCAGATCATCAAAAGCGTCTGAACAACATATGAGTGCAACCAATAGATATGTCTAAACACAGAAGGGTCACCCACACCCAATGTTCTAAAGAGGCTCTAGGCGCTAGTCGGTCGCCAGCCCAGAGCCTAGCGCCTAGGCGGTTAGGCAGGTGCCTAGTCAGGGACTAGTCAGAGACATAGAGATTACATTTTTATCTATACTTTTGCATAAATATGTTAAGTAATATTTTTGTTGTGTGTATAAAATACATAAATACACATACATTAAAAAACATGAATGATAGAATTATCACATTTAATCTTACGTAGTACTAGTATATGATAACTAGTCACTTAACTTCATTATGTTATAAATATAAATAATAATAAAATTTAGGTATATGCACAAACATAGAGAGTTTTCATCTTAATTTACAATTTCATTTCTTTATATTTGTGGCTAAAGCTAAAGTACTTATATCGCTTAGGAAAAAAAATATGTATGAGTTAAACATGTTGAGTTTAGTCCAACATAAACTAATAGATATAAATATATATATGTGTATGAAATACTTTGTTTTTACGTGGAAACCCGGAAAAGGAGAAAATCACGGGACTCTTTAGGCTAATGTCCAAGCCCTCTCTTCTTCATTAATACTTTCCTCAACATTTACATAGTACATCTCTTGGAGCTTCCATTAATGGAGCTTGAAATAACTAATCAAGAAAGATAAGGAAGGAGAAGTGGTGAAGAAGCCATCCTCGAGAAGGCCTTTCCTTCTCCTATTTATAGAAGGGGAGGGGCCTAAATGGGCCAATGAGCCTAAATGGGCCGAATATGGGCCGGTTGGGCTTAAATGGGTCGGGTAGGCCTAAACGGGCCTCGCCGACTGGGCTCCATACCGTGGTGATGCCTTGAGACTCTGAATAGTAGTAGGCCGAGATAATATTCCATAACACAAGTCCCTCAGTTTCTTGAGTAGTGAGCATTCGAATATGCTCGAGAAACTATATTCTTGCTCATGTTTTTCCTCGAATCTGTGTCTTCGAGTAGTCTTGCTAGAGGGTGGGTATTTGCCCCTCCTTTTGAACAGTGAGTGGGCCGAGTTTTGATGAGCCAATCGGGGATGACCCTTGACTCAGCTGTCATCTAATTCTTTAAATTAAAATGACGATGAAAAACTCATCACTAGAGCCTTGCTCGGCATCATTTAATTCGGGATATTTTAATCCCTAATAAATAATGATGATAACAAACATTCCCAATAATGCTATTTGAAATTAAATTAGCAAGTGAAAAAATGGTGGTACTTAGGTGAATAGGCTGAATTTCAGCTATTTCATTGGAGCTAGGACGGCCCGTTTCAAGGCTTCGGAAAGTCATGACCTAATATTTTAACTTGCTTCAACCTGGACCATTTAAAATCCCAAACTCCACAAATCCCCTTTGAGCCCACACGGAGTACTTGAAAATTCCTAGCCGCCCCTTCATCACAGCCGTACGGAAACGACTGCCCACAAAAACCCAGCCTGGGGCCGAACGAGGAAGGCGGCAACCAAGCCCGACAGATTGGGCGGTCGAGGATAGATACAAGCGAGAAGGTGCTTGCTTGGCAGAATTCTGAGCGGCGGTGTTCCAGAGAATCAAGCGGCAAATGCTGCACGGCACAGGGGAGCGGCCTAGCTGGGTTTCAGATGACGGTAGGCTGAAGACTCAGGTCGTCCCTCCCTGTTATCCTCGCTAGTTTGCTCGAACGGGATTTGCTATCCCTGTCTGAACGAAGACCAGTCGGTCGTCAGTGGTTGCTCGAATGGGATTTGTTATCCCTGTCTGAACACAGACTGGTCGGTCACCGGTGGTTGCTCGAACGGGATTTGCTATCCATGTCTGAAAAGAGACTGGTCGGTCACCGGTTGTTAATCGAACGGGATTTGCTATCCCTGTCTAAACAGAGAATGGTCAGTCACCGGTGGTTGCTCGAACGGGATTTGCTATCCCTGTCTGAACGGAGACTGGTCGGTCACCGGTTGTTGATGGAACGGGATCTGCTATCCCTTTCTGAATTTTGCTGGAAATCAGTTGCTTTGTGTATGAATTTTGTGTAGAACCAAGAACATGTGAAATCCTTTAGAACCAATGTTGAGTTTAGTCCAACATAAACTAATAGATATAAACATAAATATGTATGAAATACTCTGGGTTTACGTGGAAATCCGGAAAGGGAGAAAACCACAGGACTTTTTAGGCTAATGTCCAAGCCCGCTCTTCCTCATTAATACTCTCCTCACCATTTACATGGTACATCTCTTGGAGCTTCCATTAATGGAGCTTGAAATAACTAATCTAGAAAGATAAGGAAGGAGAAGTGGTGAAGAAGCCATCTTGGAGAAGGCATTTCCTTCTCCTATTTATAGAAGGGGAGGGGCCTAAATGGGCCAAATATGGGCCGGTTGGGCCGAAATGGGTCAGGTAGGCCTAAATGGGCCTCGCCGACTCGGCTCCATACCGTGGTGATGCCTTGGGACTCTGAACAGTAGTAGGCAGGATAATATTCCCCAACACACATACATTAACAAACATGAATGATAGAATTATCCATTTAATTATACGTAGTACTAGTATATGATAACTAATCACTTAACTTCATTATGTTATAAATATAAATAATAATAAAATTTAGGTATATGCACAAACATATGGAGTTTTCATCTTAATTTACAATTTCATTTCTTTACATTTGTGGCTAAAGTTAAAGTACTTGTATCGCTTAAGAAAAAATTAAAAAGTAAAGTAGTGTTTGGCGAATCTAGAGGCCTAGGCGGATGATTAGGCGCTCTTGGCGGGCAACTAGGCGCCATAGGCGGCTGACTAATTCACCTACACGGAAAACCAATTAGTTGGAGCGCCTAGACGAAAATCGGGGTGCCCGTCCACCGCCTAGCGCCTAGGCGGGGACTAGTCGGACGCCTAGGACGATTTTTAGAATAGAGCCCACACCTAAAGAGCCCCAAATCATTCAGAGGACACGTCATCAAATTAGAACAGTGCTCAAAGACTAATATACCCTCAAACTCACTATATCATTCATAACTGAACATGGTCATAGTTCACAAAGTTGACTAACTTAGTAATGCTGAGATGAAGATAAAACTCCTAACAGACCCGTGAGCTTAAATAATGTTACTCAATCACCTGGATGGACAGAAATAATGCAAAGGGGTGTTTTCTACACCAATGGGATAAGTCCGAGTGCACAATATTTATAGAGGAAGTGTTTGAAGAAAATTTAAGTCATTGAGTACAGATAAGGTTTCAATGAGCGTAGAAGACATATCCAGCAAACCAAGTGATCCTACTACACATTGCCAACCTTTGCTCACCAAATCCTTCTCCAAACTCCCAAATATACACCGCATATCTTTAGAGCTTGGATAGTTGAATGTTTAGTATCTCTCTTGATCTAAACTTATTGTAACCTAGAGAGGGCTTCGTGATCAAATGTAGGGTGAAGAAGAAGGAAATGAGTAGTTGTTAACAAGTTAATGCTATTAGTGAAAAACCTTGTAGAAGGCATGACATGAGTATCTTTAGCAAGTCAATGCTAGTAGTGAATAACCTGTAGAAGATATGATTAAGTAGCTTGGATTACTGGTGTCTACTCCTCGTATTGTCTAGGGTAGACTAGGTGCTAAGTGTATTGGGTATAATAACTTAGTGAAATCCATCATCTTTAATGTGGATTGGAAGTAAAAGGATTATACCACCTCTAAACCAGGATATATCTCGTGCATGTTCCTTGCTTTCAGTACTCACAAGCACCACAACCAAACTCGTCCTTCATATTGTCTAAAACGCCAAATAGGTGTATCATTTTAACAGTGGGTTGCACTAAAACAGAACCTTTTTGTTTACCCAATTCAACTGTATAGTGTCTCTTAGCTTTCTCACAAGCTAATCATCTCTCCAAAGTTCACAAACAACTTATTCTCCTTTGCGTATTGAACAACCTTTGTTCAGTACAAAACACCTTTAAACCAAGTTAGCAAGAACGCTTTTCATAGAGCAGAAGCCTGGTTAAGAATAAGAAGTGTCAATTCACTTAGCATCACTTCTCTGAACATATTACCAGAAGCCTTATGTGCTGCAAGTAGAGCCTTCTGGTTTGAGACTAGAACTCATCTATATATGCTCTCACATAATGCTTCTGATTCAGGCTACCACTCTTCTAACTATTCTAAACAGTTCATCATCCCATAAACTAACAGGGTCATAACATTTGTCTATATAAATTTCTTTCAAAACAGGGCAAAACTTCCGCTGTGAGTTTCAAGATCTCCTAAAAGATTTAAAATTATATTCACCTCCCCCTAGACTTTTACCTTCACCAGGGATAATCATATATTATGCTACACCCGATCCACTAACATTGTGACATGAGGAGCTAGTAAAAAAGTTATTAAGAATGGAGGGTTTAAGTAGTTGATATTAAACTGATACATTAAGATTAAAGTAAAAACGATTTAGAACCACACAAACTTCACCAAAATTGGTATGAAATCATCTTAATGGGAAGGACTGAAAAGGAAAGATGGGACAATCTTATCGGGATGGAGGAGTATAAAAGTATTTTTTTTAACCTGGTAGGTAAACCACCAAAATCAATGGGATGGATGTCGGGGAACATCTACCGGATATTATAAATCAACCAAAACAGAGCATACATGGAGGGAAAAAGCCAAAACCACAACAAAATGAGCTCAAAGAAAAGCGCAAAGCATAGAGATTAAAAAATATAAGGTAATTATGAAGCATATAAAGCAATAGACCCCTTCAAATGCCTTGGAATATTTCTCCCTTCTTGCCATTTAAAACTGCCCTCCAGGCCCATTTTAGCCACCAATCTCACCGCCTGGTTTACATGGGCTGGTATAACCAAGAAAGTCGCCCCATTACCGCAGCTCAACTCATTCTTTCTAGAAAAAATCCGCTTCCATCTCCGAATTAGGCAGTTGAAGAGCCAACGCCCAGTTAGTCGCTCGCTCTAACACTTCATCTTCCAACATCCCTGATCCACTCAACAGGAAGCCTTCAGCTGCAACCACTTTTCCAGCATGATCTTGAAGGAAAAAGCCGGATGCAGACCTTCCATTTCCACGATGAACAGCCACGTTCAACTTCAGAGAGCCTTCCACCGGTTTTCTCCATCTTTCAATTTGAGGCTTCCTCCTTCCAAACGAACTAGGTAAGATACGCAATCGCTGCAATCTTTCACTCCCTTGTAGATTATGATTTGCATGACACCACTCTAACATAAATTTTCTAGTTTTTTATATCAAATGCTCCATTCTCTGCTCTGAATCGTTTCTGACTGAATCCCAATAAGCTTTACAAATGTACCAAACAAATACTCCTGGTAAGACCATCGAGTACACCGCATCCATAGACTTCCCGTTTTTACTAATCCACCACCTCATAAGCTCTAATTTTATGCTTCTTGATTTATGTTTTATTGTAATGAAGGAGTGAGTGAAGAAATTCGACACGGATTGAGTCCAGCTGCAAGTTAAGAGGATGTGATCCTGACTAACTCTTGAAGCTCTACAAAACGGACATATAGTGGGGAACATAGTTAGAAAAACTGCCAACTGCTCAGGGAAAGGGAGACATCCATTCCACAACCTCCATAGGAAAATTCAAATCTTAGGTACCTGCTTTGGGTGCCAGATTTGAGAAATGGAAAGGCTTTTTCCTACTTGAGGCCAAAGAGCTTCATAAGCTGATTTTGATGTAAAATTCCCTTCTTTTGTATGCTTCCAAGTAATAGTATTAGGTCCCCGAGTTACCATTTGCTTAGCCTCCTCATTGATGAGGCATATTCTTCTCCAAGTAGGAAAATCCGTAGGCTTAAACTCCCCTAACTCCCCTAAATTGCGATTACCATACATGCTTTGCATCAATGCAGTCCAAATGGATTGTCCTTGCTGATATTCCCACCATAATTTAATGGCTGAGACCTTTTGAATGTCAGCTAAGGACCTAAAGCCCAAACGTCTCTTTCTGTATTAGATTACATAGTTTGCTAAACCTAACCCATTGGTGCTTTGGTTTCTTGTCTCTATATCCCTAGAAAAAATTGCAATTTTCTTGTTGATAATGTTGATAACTGTTGCAAGAATAGATGTAGTAGCAACCACATGGATAGGTATAGAATTTAGCACATGCTTGATTAACATTAATCTACCTCCCTGAGACAGCATCATGCTCTCCCAATTTGATAATTTAGTATCTACTGCATCTAGAATATCTTGGCAGTGACTCAACCTCGTAAACCCTTTATGGAGTTTGACCCCTAGGTATTTAAAAGGTAATTTAGTAGATTCCATGCCCAGCTCATTCTCAATATACAAAGTTCTTAGTATAAAAGTATTTGTATTCCGTACTCGTACAATGGTAGTTCCAGAGTTTTTATACCGTGGGAGCAGCCCATGGTTAGCATGGTGCTCTAATAGCTAAAACACGCGTGAACAATAACTTTTTTTCCAATAGCAAGGTGATGTAACTCACGTGTAAAAATATGTAGTTCATTGATTTCTTGGAAATTTACCAAAACGCATCAGGGCAGCTGATTAATAAAGAAAAATCATGTTTTGTTACAGGAAAGCACATTACAACTCCCAGATCAGCCCAGCTAGAACGCATACTAGGTATAAAGGTTTCCAAGCTCCCCTTTATGTATTTGGGAGTTTACATTCACAAAGGGTTGACTAGAGTGGAACACTGTAAAGATCTCATTGAAAGTTTTGACAAAAAGTTATCAGTGTGGAGAAAAAAGTTGCTCTCTCAGGGGGAGCAGACTTATTTTAATCAGGCATGTTTTTAATTCTATTCCCCTACATGTGTTAGCTGTCACAAATATTCCCAAGACTGTCCAGAACATTATTAAAAAGAAGGTGGCTGATTTCTTTTGGGGAAGTAGCAATCATGGTGATAAACATCATTGGATCAGTTTCAAACACATATGCAAGCCCAAAGAATGTGAGGGGTGGGTCTAAAGTCTATTGGTGATGTTCAAAAAATATCAGCTATGAAACTTTTGTGGGAATATCAGCAAGGGCAGACCATGTGGGCTGACCTTATGAGGATGAAATATGGTAAGAGAGCCTCAGGGGAGGTCAAAGTTTATGATTCTCCCCTCCAGCTTGGAGAAGGATCAGCCTCATTTCTGAAGAAGCTGAGCACATGGTGGTAAGGGGCTCCCAGTCTTTGGTCTGGAAGCATACAAGTGATGGTAAATTTTCTACAAAATCAGCTTACAATGCCTTATGGCCGGGGGGAAGACATTATTAACAACACATATATGGAATGGAAAACAAGTGTCAAAGATTAGAATTTTCCTATGGCGGCTTTGGCACAGGGGACTGCCTTTTCCTGAGAGGTTGGCCTCATTCACTACAGCATTTCCTACCCAGTGCCCATGGGGCAGGAAGGAGTGTGTTTCCCAGGACCATATTCTTCTGAATTGTGCGTTTGCGGCTTCAATTTGGAATTATTTCGACAGCGTGCTGCAAATAGGAAGAGGAACAGCTCACACTATAAAATTGAAGATAATGCAATGGTGGATTGGGGTTTCTGGTAAAACGATGAATTCAGTATATATTTCAGTTTTACCTGGAGTGATTACTTGGCATCTTTGGAAGACATAATGGGATTCGATTTTCAATGGATCAGAACCAAATTACAGCAGTTTGGTGCATCAAATATGCAAAAATATGTTAATATGGTGTGGTGCGCATGATAAATTAAGGGTATATGATAGGATAAAAAGAGCTTTACCTCTTAATTTTAGAAGAACAAGGCCTCGAATCTTCCGATGGGTTAAACCGAATCCTGGCCAGGTTAAGCTCAACTGGCCTGGTGTGTATTCCGGCGGCATGGAAAATCAGCTGCAGGTTTCTTGCTTCGTGATCAAGCGGCGAAAATGGTGGCAGCAGAAGGTTTTCCGCTAAGCGGTTCGTCGAAGGAAGACGAAGAGGTCTTCAGGCAGGCAGTGCGATGGACAAAGGGGCTGGGGTTTCCTAAAGCGGTGGTAGAGGTTTCCAAAATGAAGCTTCTGGAGATGGGCCGGTCCATAGTGGGCTCGCATTGCGCTATAAATTTTATTCCGGATCAGGCAAACAAAGCAGCTAAATTAGTGGCGGGTTTGGGCTTTATTGGGTTATTTTCTTGGGAACAAGGTGATTGTGTTCCACACATTCTTGGAGGAGCTCTTCGGCTTGATGCAGATTCTATTCCCTACGTTTTTTTTTATTTTTGGTGTATTGCTCATTTAATTTTTTGTTCTCTCTCTTTGCTGAAAGGGTATGCACTTTCTGAGGTTCAGCTTTGGTCCCCCTCACATTTTGTAACAGTTCTTCCCTTTTTTATAATATCCGGTAAACGTTTCCCGGAGTTTGCCCCACTGATTTTGGTGGTTTGCCTACCGGGTTAAAAAAAAAGAAATGTAATTGCAGACAAGTCGAAATGTAAGTTGTCTGATATGGAGTATATTAAATATAACATTGATTTCAATGTAAACAATAAAAACAAGGAGTCTAATTGATCAACTACTTTATGTAAATAGTGAATATGTTTTGTTTTTAATATTAAGGCCATAAACAAACTTTAAAAAATCAATTTTTTTATCAAAAAAAATCTTTTTGTTGGCAAAAAAATATTTTTTTAGCAAAATAAATGCAAAAAAAAATCATTTTTTTTGCACATAAAATGATTTTTTGTTTTAGTAGCACGGGTTTATTTTGTGATGTAACTCTGTTATGGAAAATGTAACAACTATTTATGAATTGATAAAGAATAAAAATTAGATTGAGGTGTAATTTAAGATGAAAATAAACAAAAAAAAATTGCAATTACATTTTTTATACATTGATGAAGAAGGAAAAGAAAAGAAAAAATAAAGAAGAAAAAGGAAAAGAAAAACTAAAATGATGCACTCCACTACTCCAAGGAAGAAAACCAAAGAAACTTAAGACATATTAGTGCACACTAATGCAATGAAGAGCATGCTTTAGTGGGATCGGTACACCGTGCACACGGTGTAACGATCTTATAGTATAATTTGCTCAAGTTCAATGAACAAGAAGTCCATATGAACGTACTTTTTGGTATCTATGTGAATTAAACGTGGATGCTTACCAAGAATTGTTAAATGTGGGGAAGATCATTACAACATATGACAACGAGGCAGATCAAGGATGGTTATGCATATAATCGTACCCGCCCCGGTCCATTGAGTAATTCTCTGCCCCGTAACCGGCTAACCGCCCCATTACCCAACGGATAATTTTTAGCCATACCATAATCGCCCCAACGGATAGTGGTTATAACCGCGGGTAACCGCTTTATTAAAAATAATTATTTTAAAAGGCAAAAAAGTTGTATCGCCTAGACGACTCTAGATGTGGGATGCCACTTAAAAGTTTCGTGCATCTACAAGAAGGAAGACAACATAAATTAATTTGAACCTAAAAATACTTAAGTTAAAAAATAGTGAATCAAGAAAACATATGATGATAACCAAACGAGACTATTAAAATCTTTTATAAACTATCGTTCATACATTATAGTTCGTACATCTATATATACACAATGAAAAGAGAAAAATATCATCTTTTATAATTGTGCGACAAATAATCAGAGGAATGTAATAAAAATATACTATGTAACTAAATATAAACGGGGCGGCATGTATAAAACCGTAACCGCCCCATTACCCGTAAGTATAAAATGGGTATTCCCGCCTCATACCCATTACCCGATCAATGCGATTTTTCCCATTTTGATCGTAACGATTTGTGCGGTATCTATGAGATCGGTCACAATTGACATCACTAATCATTACTCAAAAACCTATTTGGCTCCTAGAGAGCACTCTAGAAACTAGGGCTTAAGGATTACCATTCAAGATCTCAAAGTGCTCGTTGATAATAGCGGGTAGTACCAAACCGCTGAAAAATTGAAATATGAAACGCTGCAAAATACAGCGGGTAGCACCAAACCGCTGAAAAACCAAATGGAGCCAAAGTCTTATTTTAGAGTAAGGGGATGTTTTTTGGATCTGATTCTTAAAACTGCTTATGCTCTTCAGGGAGCAGAAGCAGAAATTGGAGTGTTTGGGTGAAAGTGCAGAAGTGATTTTGGTGCTCTAATTTACTTCTAGAATCAGTTTTTTTAGAAGATGGGGTGACCAACTTCTGAAAACCGATTCTGATTCTATTTCTACTTTAAAAAGAAGCAGAAGCATAATCACTTCCAAACACCCCTAAATCTTAACGCTATAATTATATTCCCTTTTTCTTTCCGTGTACTTTCTTTTCAGCGGGATTTGTCAAATACCTTTTATTATTGTCAGCTTTTAATTAATCGCTTTGCAATTTCTAGCTAAAGTAGTGCGGCCCGCGGTTTACCATGAGTAGCACTTTTTGCGAGAATGTAGGTGTAGTATGTACATATCCTTATACCCACCTTATACTTACCGTATTTGTGAAAGTTTTTTTGTCTACGATTCCGATTCACAGATAAAATATGTGTTATTTTGTCTGTGCAAATTTTGCATAAACAAAAATTGTTTGTGAATGGAACTCATAGACAAAAAAAAACTTCACAAACATGGGTGAGTATAAAAGTGGGTATAAGCGTGAGTACAAACATCTTTTTTGTTCTAAGAATGATGCTATTCCCTTTTTTCAAATATAATTTCCGGAAATTAAATTGAAAACCCATGCTTAAGTAGGACTCAACATGAGATTCTTACCATGTTTTCTTTTGGATTGTTTTCAGTTTCAGGCCAGATCAGATTTAAACAGACAGGTCAGATGACTTAAACAAATTAGACCAGATCTGACCATACCATATCAGACCAAACTTAAATAGATCAGATCTGACCATACCATATCATACCAGTAAATTTCATTCCAAAAGAAAACAACCATAATCGATCTTAACCTTTATATAAGTATTTGATACTTGCAGACTCCATAATCTGTTAAGGCAATTTATATCCTGGGATCGGCGCACCATGAGGATGGTGCGCCCGATTTTTTAATTATTTTTTATTTCTTTTAGACACAATATTGCAGACACAACATTCATTATTTTTTATTTCTTTTATTGTTAAAAATTGTAATAACTTTTTTATTTGATATCCGATTTTTATAAATTTTATATCAAATTTTTTTATTTTTCATGATCTATCAAATGAGACCAATATTGCTTATGTAATTTTAACAAATTATTTTGAAGTTACATTTGATAATATATCATGAAGTTACATCTTATTCTGCGCGAGTTACATCTTATTGTACGCGAGTTACATCTTAATATACGCGAGTTACATCTTAATGTATGTGAGTTACACCATGAAATAAACTCCTGCTACATCTTTCATTTTTATCATTTGAAAAATAATGTATGAATATGAAATACAATATACCTAATTTAAGTGGATTAATAAAATTTTGTATTAAATTGGCAAAGAAAAAAATTAATTCAGTTATAATTGAATCAGTTCAAGATAAAGATAAGTAAAAAATCACAAATAATTAGATATAACTCATACATAATTACATGTAACTCGCGCATAAAAGTATGTAACTCGTGTATAACAAGATGTAACTCACACATAACAAGATCTAACTCACACATAATTACATGTGACTTGCGCATAAAAGTATGTAACTCGTGTATAGCAAGATGTAACTCACACATAACAAGATGTAACTCACATATAATAACGTGTAAGTGGAGTATAAGATGATGTAACTTCGTATATTATCAATTGTAACTCCAAGCTAGAAACAAAATAAACAAACTCAATATCTTAAAAACCTCTAAAAACATATAAAAGTGATAAAAAAAATATATTATAGAAAAAGTGTATGCATATAAAAATATATTACAAAAAAATGTATGAATGTAAAAAATTAAAATTACATAGGCAATATTGGTCTCATTTGAAAGATCATGAAAAATAAAAAAATTTGATATAAATTTTATAAAAATCGGATCAAAAATAAAAAAAAAAATTAACAATTTTAAGAAAAGGAAAAATAAAAAATAACAAAGGGTGCATGGTGCTCACCATGCACCGGTTCCACAGTATAAACACTGTTCTGTTAACTATTCTATGTTCAAAGTTTAAAAACTCGTTCTTTAATTAATAATTTATGCGTAAAATTAATTCCAAATTTGTTATCATATAATTATACATAATCATTTACCTTAATATATATTCAAAATAGTTGGTACTATTAAAAGTTATTTCCAAAATACATACTCCCTCCGTTCTTTATTAACTTTCTCATATTTCTTTTTGGGATGTTTTTAATTATTTTCTCTCTTTCCCTTTTTGGTAAGTTTTTTCAATCAAAATACCTTTATACCCCCACTTTTATTACTATTACCTCTTTCTCTTTCCTAATTTTTCATCTACCCACAACCCACAAAAAAACGGAGGGAGTATTATTTTTCATCTACTATTACCTTTATACATACTATTTTTTTTATCTACCCACAACCCACTACACCTTTTACACTACCCCTATTATTTTATTCTTAAAACCCGTGCCAAAGTCTAAGAGGACAAATAATAAAGAATGGAGGGAGTATTAGTTTTTATTCATGGAAGATTGTATGTACAGTATCATTTAAAGTTATTTTCCTAAGCAAAAACATAACCTTTATTGAATTTAAACAAGTGTCAAAATAATAAAATGAATTTATAAGCATACATGAATGAATGACAATATTATAATAGCACGACAATGCAGGGACGGAGTCAGGGCACTGTGCCGGTACTAAGAATATTTTTGGAATAAATTTTACACAATGTTTTTACCGTAAGCATTAAGACATTTTTTAAATATGGGGTGAGCTAGGGCTTGGGTTGGCCCCCATCTAGCTGCGCCCCTGAGACCAGTGGCGGACCCAGAAAGTCAGAGCCACGGGGTCCCTACCCTTTTATTTCTTTTTTTTCTTTTTTTTTTTACTCCAGGGGGGTCTGGGTGAGGGGGGGC